AGAATATGTTGGAACTATCACAAGAAATGACTAAGATGGGGAACCAAGAACTAAAAAATGGGAATCATAATTTTAGAACAAAAAAAGTCTACTATTGCACTAAATGTCACCAATCTAAACACATAAAGAGGACTTACAAAAATCCTAACTCATTTTGAAGTTAATTTAGATGTGAGAAAACTAATTTCTTGATGTATAAAAGCTCCACCCTTTATAATTATTTTTAGAGGGAGGGTGTTGGTAGATGTGCACACTACTTTTTTGGTAAGTAGTCTGTTTGGTGATAAGAAAACATTAAGTGGATAGATTATCTTAATGTGTGCTTGTCAGTTGCCACTGAATATTGCAAAAAATTATTACTGTCAGCACATGTTTTTTTGGTTATTTTACATACCATTGTTGTAATTTCTCATGATGGAATTGCAACTACAGACTTGTTACTCTGATGACAGTAACATTATATGATGATTTGGAAGTGGTTATATTTTGTTGATGGGTAGAATAATGTTAACATTTTGTCTTATCAGTTCTAAATGATAACAATATAGATCTATTGAATATTCTGAAGTTAATGAGAAATCTAATCACAGACTTACAATTTCACTTCTCAAACTTGTTATTTGGCTTACTATTCTTGTCATTTAGTTTACCACTTTTGTCATTTGACAGTAAAATGCAAAAATAATATCAACATTTTATGAAACTCAATTATAGAATTATTATTTCGCTTATCAATCTTGTCATTTGGCTTACTACTCATATCATTTGACAATGAAATGTGAAAATAATAACTTTTTATAAAATTTAATTTAATTAGAAATCCAGTCACATGCATATGATATTGCTTATCAAACTTATTATTTGAGTTACCACTTTTGTCATTTGGTAGTGAAATATGAAAATAGTGACAATTCAAAGTGAAACATATAATAATCTCAAATTTAAATGTTATTTCAGCAATACATAACTATCAACAATGGCCACTCATCAACAAAGTAAAACATATTATACCTATCTTAAATGCAGTAACAATATATACAATTTATCCTTATTTTCCTATTGAAACTATTTATAAAGACTTCCTCTTTCTTTTGGTCTTCTGTCCCTTGTTAGTTCCTGTAAGTTAAGTATAACAAATAATAAGTTCAGTATATCAAATAACAACTTAACTATTCCAAATAACAAGTTGAGTTTAGTAAATGACAACTAAAATATTACATAAAAAACTATATCAAATATAACTTAAATATTGCAAATAACAAGTTGAGTTTAGAAAATTATAACTTAAGTATAATATATGACAAGTTACGTGTATCAAATTACAATTTTACTATTCCAAATAATGAGTTCAGTTTAACAAATCAAAACTTAAGTATTATATATGACAAGTTAAATATATCAAATAATAACTTCATTATCACATTCAATTGAGCAAAAACCATTAACTTAAATCAGTCCAGAAAATGATACTATTTTCACATTTTAGTTGCCAATAACAAGTTATTATTGGGAAATAACAAGCGGTGATTAGGAAATAACAAGTCCTAAGAAGCTAATACCATTAACTTAGTTTAGTCTGAAAAGTGACATTATTTTCATATTTTACTTGCCAATAACGAGTCATCATTGAGAAATAACAATAATGTTATCACCAATAATAAAAAACCAGTATATCCATGGCAGCAACTTTTTCATACAGTTCAAAAAAAGTAATACATCCGCATTTTTATCATTAATAGCATATATATACAAAATAATGATATTGTTATGCCTATCAACAAAATACCATGATTTTCAGAACACAATGTAAAATTGATGTCATCATATGCAGAAAGCATGTAGTTACAACTATAAAATATTCACTCATTAGAAAGTCCAGATATAAAGAATGTAACTGAAATTCGATCCTTTGACATGAAAACCAGGGAAAGCAAATATATTAGATAGTTCAAATGGTAAGAACTAGAAGGCAAAGAAAACTGTACAAGATGGAGGCAAAGAAGAGGATAAACAGAGAAATGAACTGCAAGTGAAACCCTTGATTGGGAAGAGAGAGACACATTCACAGCCTTTCTTTTATTGATATTGGACAGAAACTCATCAAAACTCTATTTCTCTAGCATCACAGTCTTCACCGATGTCACTGGGTCGTTAAAAGATTTATCATGCTTCCAATTAGAACTTGTACTATAATAAAATTAGAAAGCTTCCTTTATATCAATCTTATCACATTTTTCCAAAGCTACAAAGTATTTGACTAAAATCAAATTTCCCCCCACCTGTATGATCAGTTCCTCACCACCTCAACTAGAAAAATTAATTTCTTTCAAACATGAAAGGGATTTTATCATAATGTTGGGAATCACTCTTTTAACATATAATAGCAGAAAGATAAATGCTTTTGATATTTAAGAGAATTACCCAACTCAAAAATGGATTTTAAGATTTAGAAAACTCTAAAAAAACAATTTCACATCAGAAATGAATTTCTGATATGGGTCATATCTTACTGTTGAATCCTAGCATAAAACTAATATAGAAGGCATTAGTACCATCCTTTATGAGGCATAAATGAAAAGGAGGCATAAATGGTGATGCTTGAGAGGCATTGAAAATTTTGTTGTATCGATTATCATGTCAAATTAACCCTATCAATTGCCAATTTATTTCTGCCAACTGTTAGTATAATATAGAACAAATTAAAAACTATATCCGATTTTAAATTTTAAATGACAGCACAACATAAATTCAAAAAGAATTACATATCATCACCCATGGATAGCGTATTCTTTTTGCATATTTGGAGGGTTGCTCAAAGGTTAAAGCAAAAGACATCTAATTCACGAGCAAGCCTAACCAAATAACTAACATAATTTCATCCCAATTTTAATGGAACATTGAAACCAAAACCAAATACCTCAATCTTATCGGGCTTCGTAGTGTTAGACTTTAATCCCTTGAGAGAGACTATGCACGCATGAGATGGTGCAATGAAATCAAATCTCCAATGCGAAGAGGTTGGGTCATTTTCTTAACTTACAAAGGAAGAATTTTGGAATATTGATTTAAAGACTTTTCTTCACAGCTCTCTCAAACAAAGCCCCATATTGTTCAGAAATAGAGAGATGGAGCAAGAGGGAAAAGTGAAAGCCGCACCTGCTTGCTGTCGAGATTGAGACTGAGGGAGACGACATTCAACTTTGGACAAGGATTCGTCATCGGCGTTGAAGGAGGATGAGGATTTGGGGAGCAGAGGAAGAATTGGAAAAGAACCAGTCTCTCATCTCAGTCGAGGAATAGATGAAGGATTAGGGGAAAAGTAGAAGGGTATTTTCGTCTTTTAATCAAGATTTCATAATTTCTATTTAGGATCAGGTCTCTATAGTAATTATATAAATTCAAGGACTTAGATCGCTATTTTATACTACCTTCGATCCTAATTATAAGACCTAGTTGACTTATTTGAGGAGATTAAGGAAGTAAGTTAAGTTAGTTATTTGTAATAAATAAGTGTTGTCATTCCTAAAATATCCTTGCTAATTAAGTGTATGGCTAGAACTATTATTATTAGAAGGACTATCTTGGAAAAAAATGCATAAATGTGAGAGAAAAAATAGATTGGGGTCTTATAATTACGACCAAACAAAAAGTCAAATGGGGTCTTATATTAAGGACCGGAGGTAGTATATTCCAAGGTCCTTATTTGTGATTTTCTTAAGAAATTAATTGTCAACATTGTAAATTAGTCAATATTTGAAAATTTTAATTTAATTACCGATTTGAAATTTTGCAAAATTGAGTAACATTTTGTTTTTGAAAATTCAACTATAATTTTTTTTTTGAAATTTTTCTAGAAGACTATTTAATTATTTAACTTGACTTATTTCAAGTGATTTTATTTTGCATGGATAAATATATAAGATTAGGTTTTTCTTCATAAAAGTATAAAACAATTTTTTTTCCTTAAATGATTTGGATGGTTTAAGCAGGGCAAGGATTAGCAATGATGATATTACGCGGCAGAGATTTTAATTAAGATAGAAAGACATTATTGTACCTGTAATTTTTTAAATTGACCATACTGTATGCCGAGACCCTATAGCCTATCCACTGTCTTGTTAAATAGCCTTTGGAGTTATAAGTGTGGTTGCTCTCTCACTAGGATGTTTCGTCTGTTAGCCTGAGCGTTTGAGGTCTTGTTAAGTAGCTTTGGGAGCTATAAGTGCTGTTGGTCTCTCACTAGATGTTTGGTTCAGCATTTAACCAATCTCACTTGTAGTCAAAAGCTATGATTTTTAAGCCCGATTGAATAAGTAGGATGGTTCTGCTTTTATCTTATGAGATCGGGCTTTTAAGGGGACTTTGGGGCCACTGATCATCATCTTCAACGTGCTAGGAGAGGGGGAGTTCACCGACTGGACTATCGCTGTTCATATTCTAATTTTTCAAGCGAGCAAAATGCAAGTGAGGAGCTGGAGGCCGACTGAATATGGAGCTAAGGGAATTTGCAATATTTTTTTTTACATTTTTCTGATATTTTCAAATTTAATTCACTTAATAAATTTCACTTCTTTATATTAAATTAATTTAAATTTATTGTATTATGTCAATTCATTTTTTATATTTAAAATATTTTTTATAATTTCTCTAAAATTTTAAAATTTAATTCACTCATTAAATTTGACTCCTTCATAAAAAAATTATTTTAATTTCATTGTATTATGTTAAATCATTTTTTTAATCATGTTCTATTATTTATTAAAACTCAAACTCATTTTGGTCATTTTACAACCAAATTTACTTTTATTCAACTATAATCTAAATGAACTTTTACTAATATCACTTTTACAAATTAGCTTTTCTGAACTCCAATTCAAACATAATTTAACTTTTACCAGCTTCACTTCCATATAGGCTACTTTTCCAATAATGTTTTACCAATAGTTGAAGTGACTTTGTTTGGATGGCAGGAAAAAAAAAAAAAGAGTTGTTAGCTGTTTATCGGCCCATTTTTACGAAGAGCGAACAAAGCCCATAAAGAAAAGTCCAAACGGCGTCGTCGAGCTCAGTGCGTGCAAGTTTTGCAGGATCGCTGTCGAGCAAGGGACGGCGCAAGCCGGAGAAGAAAGAAGCAGCAGCAATGTCGTTTATGCGGGGAGATTTGCTGTGTCGAACCAGAAAGCTTGTGAAGGGTTTGGCCCAGACCGAACCCCTATGGCTCAAAGCCATGGAACAGTATGTGTCACCTCTCTCGTCTGGTATCCTTCATTTTGGGTTTGTCTTTAAATGGTTCCTAGCGTTTTGTTGCCCTTTTGATTCAACACCTTGATTTCAGAGTCATTCTGTTTAGTTGCGTTTTGTTATTTTTGAATCATGACTTCATGGGGTGGGTGTATGGTTGAAAATTTGCATATGAAATTTTGGTTGGTGAAGGATGCTTTGCATCCTTTTCTTGTATCTAGTTTTTGAGCCCAATAGAAAGGAGAATTATTCATTTCGATGTCATCCTTGAAAACTGAATTTTTTTACTGCAATTATTAGTGTTAATATTACAATGTGTTTGGTTCTGGGTATTTTAATAAAGGCATGTTCTTCTTAAGTTTAACAATTGCAGTTCAGTCCCCGAAAGGGTTTAACAATTGCAGGAATACTTCTCTCTAAAACAGTAATTTCCGTCAGCATAGGGATAATTGAGCTCAATAAGGATTTCTGGTCTTATCTTCTGATTTATTTATTTAGTTTTGGGTTTAGCTCGCATGGCTACTATTCTGGTTTTTGTTTTTGTCTTTCTGGTTTAAATTGCTGTTTTGTTGTTTGTTTTAGTGAACAATTGTATTGTGTGGTGTTTTTGTTGAATTTTCATACTTTGGTCAAGAAAATATATGAGTAGCTTCATTGTCTATGCTGGCTTGTTTTGTCCTTTTAAGAAGAATGTGGTGTTTTTAATATCTCATTTAATTGTGTTTTAACAGAGCACCGCCTGCAACATTTCCTCGACCTGAAGGGAAAATTAAAACAATCACTCTTCCGGAGGATATTTACATAAAGAAGTTTTATAAGAAATATCCGGATTCAAAATACTTTGATGCCATCAAGTATGCTCTTTTTTCTATATCTTTATTATCTTCCTTTACAATTTTTAGTATATAATCCTTTATCTTCCGTTATGCTGTAAGATTCACATATTGCAATGAGTTTGGCTTTTGTGTGGTGCTCTAGCATTTTCATGAGAAATTGTTACTGAATACTGATGATCCAAAATTTAATTTACTCATATCCAATTTGATTAATGGTAGAACAGGACAAAAAGCGGTGATTTTCATCAATTATGGTGCTTATGGATGGGTAACTGATTGGGCTTACAAAAAGAAAGATAAGAACAGAAAGTAGGAGAACAGAATTGGAAATAAGAGTTGAGATGGAAGAGAGGGACATAGGACCAGTATCTGCAATCCTGAGGGAGAAAAGAGAGATTATCTGAATGAATAGTACATATCATCATGCCCATAACGTCTTACACGACAAGTTTATATTAGTCTGCCAAATAACCGAAAGTAACCAACAATAGAAAATAACTGACTCCCCTAAGATAGAAACTTAAACGACTGATATAAACTAACATTAAACTGCTTTAAACCACCTAATTTTGGCTCTTCTCTCTGGTATAAACCAGAAGTGGTTGCTGCCATCTATCAGTAGCTGGAATTGTGTTTCTCTCGTTTGCACTGTTACCTCTCTGAGTGAGCTTTATTTGTGTCGTTTTTCTTTCATTGGTAGAAACTTTTTGGATCTCACAATTGTAGCCACGCTAGATTACATTAGCCTGTATTATGTTGATCATTTACATTAGTCACTATTAACATATTGCAAAAAACGAAATTCCACCAATATTAGAGCGGATGCACTTATAAAATGCAGATTTGTCGTATATTTTTGTTTCTCCTGGGTCCCCAGAACTACAACTTCATCATGGTTGGTTTTATTTTGTGTTTACTTTTTGTAGACATGTCCACGTTATATAGCAAAGTGCTATGCAAATGCTTGTTATGTTATAGACCAGACACATGAGCTCTAATAAACTTCTGGATATTGGTTTTGTTCTCTTAAAATGTATTTGGAAGAATAAAAGCCCTGTATATCGAAAGGCATTTCTATGCTTGGTGCAAAGTTTTCCACTATTCACTCTATTATTCACTTCATGATTTTTACTTGAGTTCCATGGCCGTCGCATGCAGTCAAGATACCCAGGATACAAGCCCCCAGCTGCACTTCGCTGTAATAACAGCCTAGCAATCTAAATAATCCTTTCCTATCATCATCTGCATTATAACAACTCTGCTAAAACATCCTGTCCTCGAGGGTCTGGATGTTTCCAAATTTCAAAGATACAGTGCAAAAGTCCAGAAGAATTCAAAAATAAAATCAAAATTTATTGTAGTTTCCTGAGATTCCTATTCTGCAACTTAGGATTTGTGTTTCTTTCAAAAGCACGAAATGTAATGTAACTTGAGCGAATTACCTGTAATCCAAAGCCCTATTTTTCATATCCGTTTATTCTTTTGGGTTGGAGCTAAAGTGACTAAGCTGATATTTTGAGCTAGTAGCACAATCTCCACTGCACCTTCCTTTGCTACTGATTCTAAGAAGTTCTCTGGAACTTAGAGAAAGTGCATAGCTGTCTTGCTGTCTCCCCCCACACGTGCGCCTGCTATGATGTCAGATGATAGTGATTGGGTTCCAATGAACACTGCCATTGGGTGCAGACTGAATATTCTCTGACCTGGCAATGCAGAAGAGATGCTTCATACAAGGTTCTGACCTCCCTACTCTCTTCGTCTTAACTAAACCAGCTTGGCCAAGAGACCCAGTTTCCCTCCTGTTTTGCAAATCGTGATTGAGTATTCTCCAGCCAGTGAAAACCAGCGGGCAAGAGATAAATTCCTGAATCTGGGTATTCTCACTGCTTCCATTATTGTAATCTTAGGGAGGTTATTGAATTTTATGATGCACTTCTTGGCTTGATGAAACTGGATTTTTATATTCTTCAACTTTCATAATCCTTGCCGCCACTTTCTTCGGTGGCTACTCCTTGGCTTCTTGTATTTCCTTTCTGGCATGATGCATTTCTGTCACCACTGTGCGCCACTCTTCCCTTGTGCATGTGCATTAATGAAGCTAGCTCCAATACCATTTCCCATAAAATTTCCCATCATTAACTCTGCCGTTCTGTTCACAAGCTTGCATAAGTATCCGTGGCCCTTATATACTACTCTCAACCTAATTAATCCCTTGTCATTTGTGTTGTAACTACAAAAATATGCTCTTAGGCTTGTTATGGGAGTGTCGTTTGTGACCTCCAATGATGATCTGCACATGAAATTTGTGAGGATTCAATGTATGATACGTATGGGGATTGGACAACATTGTTACATTTTAATAGTGCTTGTTTGTCTTTCTCGACCTTGTGTCTGGGTCTATGATGGTGTATCGGTCTCCACTGCTCTATATCTCCTTCTAGTAGAAGTTTGAAAAATAAAATGATTATTCGGATCTATTTAGTGGATTATAGTCTCAGTTCCTCTCCAAGAAAAAGGATGGAATGTATAAAGTTTGATTCTTGTTTATTCTCTCTTTTCAATTTTCTAGATCTGCCTTATCAGTGGTGGACTGAGTTAATTGATGAGGATTCAATCATATCGCTAATTATATTGGCTGATAAAATACTTTTAAGGGCTCGTCATTGAACTGCGTGAAAAACTATTTTGTTTGAGTCTGTGTCAACATTGAGACAACCCTACTTTCTTGTATATTTTTCTGTTACGCAGAGTCTTCAAGTATTCTTCTACCAACAAATAAATCCTTTAAGCTTCAAACCAGCATATCAGGTTTTAATGTTTTATTCAAGTGCCATGCTTCCTCAGCTCAATATTTGATTCTTATTTTAAGACTTCTCAAATGAGGTGTACCATGCCAAAATATATTATTGGTAATGGTGAAAGTGAAAAGTCAAATGCATTGATTATGTCGCTTATTCATATATATGATTAATGTTTCAATAGGATATCTGCTTTTGATCCCCCTCCATCTCGGGTCTATGCTTCGAGGGTTTTGGAGTTGACAGAGCGGGGAGTTACTGAGGCACAAGCAATGGCTGTAGCTGATGTATGTTCCTACTTTGCTGAATGTATTCTCCACAATATGTTTTTCCCTTTACTCCAATAATCACTTGGCTCTTCTGCTTCATAGAGGGAATATCGAGCAGAGGTGACAGCAAAGAGGAAAGCACATGCTCGTTTGAAACAAATTGCCCGTCTTCAAGGGAAGAAACCTCCTCCAAACCCTTATCCTAGTGCAGTTAAGGAGATACAAGCTGAAGAGAGGAAATATGTCCGCGATCGCTTCTTTGATCCCAAGATACGTAAGATTGTGGAGCAACAGAAAGCGGACTATATTGAGTCTAGGCAAAGAATGGGAATGGCAAGCGATTATTGAAATAAATAAAAAGGCAAGGTGACAGAACATTGAAGTCTACAGATCTTTGGCAAATGAGCTTCGATAAATCAATGCTCAATAATATGTCCTCTGCTTTAATTATAGTTTGGTCAAGTACTGAGCCATCAGATTACGTTAAATGCACGAAGTTCGACCAAAATTACATTCAAGCATCCTCATTGCTTCCCTTTTTGATTCTTCCAGCGTACCCATATTGGTACTCTGGCTGCAGATTCTGCCGGATGTTTGTTAGACTCTGTATTTTTCTCCATCGTCCTGTGCATTTACTGCTTTTTAATGTAGTTTCTTTCCCCAGTACCCTAACAATAAGGCTATGATAAAAAGCGTGTTATCTGCTACAAAGGGTTTGGAAGTTTTTGAAGCACTTGTGGACAAACTTTGATATACATTATTAGGGGATTAGATGAACCTGAAACCATTGGTTATTCATGTGGATATTGTATGATGTTGCTTTCTTTAGCAGATCGAGTCAATTAAGTTTGAAGTTTCGCGCATGAGCAAAGTAGATTTATTGATGACAACATCATTTGTTTCCAAATCCTACCTGCCATAAATTTAAGATAGCTTTGCCGGCTATCCTCCCCTAAAGTTATAATTGGGCAAAGGAACAGGCTTGCTTACCTATCATTGTTCAGAAAACTGAGAAGAACAGCTGGGTCAATTTAGCAAGTTCAAATATATTTACGTTATTTGTACTGGTAATTTTGAGACCAATGATAATATGGTTTGGTAGGTTCTCATAGTGAACGATTTTAGTTGTTCTGTATAGTGTCTGAATAATAAAATCAAAATAATGATATGTCTAATGATTCTTTAATTTTAAAAAATTAAGAATAATTAAATAATGGAAGCTTCTTTTCCCGCTTTGAATAGTTAAATGGGAGTTTGAACGTTTTGTAACTAGGGGTGGTAATACGGGCCAACCCGCGGTTACGGGTTGGCCCGTGACGGGTTCAATCCATATGACTCGGGTTGAAAAGCGTCGTTTAAAGGCGGGTTGGCTTTTAGCCAACCCTAACCCGCCAAGGTGGGTTGATGGGTTGGCCCGCCAAAAATTATTTACTTTTTTTTTTTAATTTTTTAATCTTTTAATATTATTTTTTTATTCAATATTTAAAAAAATATAATGATATTTTTACTTTTTTCTTGAAATATTTGATTGAAAATACCAAATAAATTATATAGGTATTTTTTTTTAATTTTTTAGATATAATATCATATATAATAATACAATTATAATAATTTTAAAAATTTTAAAAATAAAAAAAATATATGCGGGTTAGCCCACGGGTTGGCGGGCTAACCCACGGCGGGTTGTGGGCCTAACGGTGCGGGTTGGAAAGATTCGTTTATTGGCGGGTTGGTTTTTAGCCAACCCTAACCCGTTATTTTTGACGGGTTGGCGGGTTGAACCTGCGGGTTGAACCCATATTACCAGCTCTATTTGTAACCATGTTTTTCGAGGGAGGGCTTATGTCAAGTTTTCTGATTATTTTTTTATTTTATGTGAATTTATAATTAAATATTATTAAGTGTTAATATTTTAAAAATAGGACCATTGAAAAACTTGATGTAATAAATATTTTTTTTAAAATAACTGCGTTTATTTTCATGTTAAAAACTATCAAAATTACAAATAACTACTAAATATGATTTTGGTGATTTCTACTGGTGTTTGTGTCCGTGTGTCTCTCCCTCTCTATATATATTTATATAGAGAGAGAGAGTAAGGAATATCAATAAAGAATGTAAATAAATGGGAAAAGAATTCTAGAAACTTGTTGCAGTATAAGGTTTGAGAAAAGATAAGGGAGAAAAAGGGATTGCACGAAACGGAAAGACTGAAGATTGGTACAGGGTTCCATTTCCATGTGTCTTTATGTATCTTTCCTTCAGGGACAAGAAAGCTATTTCCTTCTTTCTTTTTGGTGTTATATGAAGAAAGAATTATTGTAAATAATTAAAGATAATCCTAAGGTGAACACTTTCACTGTGTGGGTTTGAAAAGATTTAAGCTTTAAGCATATAATCAAACAAAAAAGAAGCCCTCAAATACTACAAAAGCGAAATTGAATTAGTGATTATATAATCTCAAAGTATCACTTTCTTGTAACTTACACAAGTCTGTCTTGATTTTCAGGGCAACAACTTGAACTTATCCATTCGCCAGAATGAAAAAAAAAAAAAATGTCTATACTGCATTTGGAGTTTATCTTTCATTTGTTGATCAAAATAAAGAAAAATAAAATACAAGTCATATCGATAAAATATGACATTTTTCTTAAAAGTCTGAAGTATTGAAAATTACTGTGTTTTTACTTTTTACTTAATTATTTTTCTTTTCTAATTTTTTCTGCTACCTTCACTCTCCAATTTCCTTAGCATAAAGGTACACACACACATGAGTGTGTCTATTATATATCTATGCATTTATTTATGTACATATTAAACCCCATTTTTTATAAACAATAAATGGTGTAACCCGTTTTTTAAAAATATGTGTAATATATGGGAAAAAACATGTCTAGTTTAAATTAAAAAATGACTAAAATTAAAAGTTATAAATCAATGTATATTCAGAAAAATGTCTAAAAACAATCAAATTTTGTTGGATCATAGCATGATGCTCTCTTCTCTCAATAATAATAATTAACTTGATTCTCTCAATAAATGACTATTTTAATATTTTTAAACTTTAAAATAATAATCTTTCAAATTTATCACCCAATTATTTAAGAAAGTGATTTTCATATTGTTCTAAAAGGAAGTTTATTTTTTACCCAGAAAAAAGAAGTTAATTCATTAATGGCAAGTTTTCTCAATAACAGCACTACTCATCACGCTTTGAATAAAACTCTAGACTCGGGTTTGGTATTGATATATTTGGACATGAGTATGTTTAAATGTATAAAATATATTTTAAAAAAAGAGTATATTGTTTTTTTTCCTTGTCTCGAAAGAATTTATTTTTATTTGACTACAATCAGAAAAAAAAATTTTTACTTGAAAATACTTCTTAAAATTAAAATAATTAGAATCTAATCTCATTCAAAGCAGCTTGTTAAAATAATTAAAATTATGACTTATTAAGAGACCAATTTTCTTTTGGGTGAAATTAAGAGACCAATTTTTATCCTTCTACAATTCCACTTACTAATTTTTTAATAGTAATCTTTAATCCGAGAATAAAATCCGGAGAAGTGACATGATCATGACATCATGTCACGGAATAAACGTTTTGTTTTTTTTAAACAAAATGGAATAAACGTGTTTACAGATTAGAAGTTTAGAACTGCTAGTATTGGTATTGGATGGCAAATTGTCAAATCTAATCTTACATTAAAAAAAAGGAATAATTAATATGTAAATTATTGTAATTTTATCTCAACTTTTAATCAATCTTTTATAATTATTGGATTCTTATAGTTTTCTCAATTATAAATGTTGATCCTTATACTTATAATTTTTTAATTGTCAAAGAAATGGTGTTAGTAGCTTATGATATGGCTCTCACACAATATATATCTAGATTAATTTTGTTAATGATCCAAATCAACTAGATTATGCATTATATATACCCATCCAATTCTTAATATAAAATCTAATTATTAAGTTAATTTTGATTCTAAATGTAAGATTTATTTGTCATTTATCAATTTTTTTTCAAATCATCTCTATTAATACTCTATCAATCATAATCAAGTAGAAGAAGAAGATAGGATATTAAGTAAGATGATTATAGTATTTTAGGAAAATTATGTCATTTTTTTATAATTTACTAACTTACTTAATTTCTTTAATCCAATCAAATTAATTAAATAAATCTTATATTAAGGATTGGAGGACAATGTAAGAAGATAGTTGTGAGCATAATAATTTACATATTACTAAATAAGTATTTACACCAATTATAATTAACTAATTATAAGCACGGTGACTAATGTTTATAATCAAGAAAAAATTATAAATACTCAATGAAGAGGGGAAAAATAAAGAACAATTAAAAATTATATGAAACTTAACTAATCAGTATGAATACTGACGAATTAATTTTTGTCAAGAAAATGACATTTACGTACTAATAATTGATAATTAATAATCAAGGCCTCACGTGGAAAGGAAAAGCCAATTCATCACAAAAAGTTCTTTTAGCAAAACCTAATCTGCGGATTTTGGCCCGTCGGCATCACCCTCCTGTAATCTTCCTACAATTATATGTTTTGAAGTTGACAATTATAATTCTAATATAATTTATTAAATTCCATAAATTTTGAATTTTTTGATTTTTTTTTAAACAAACAATTTGATGAATTTTATGCAGTTTCTGCAAGAAAGATCGAAAGGCGAAAACTTCCCTCTCTGTAAAAGCAAACAAAGCTGAAAGAGGCCACCGCAAGTGGTGAAAAACGGAGACTCGTCGCTTCTTTTGCATTTCTTTGCCTTCTTTCAAGCTTGAACTGGCACCACAGAATTTCCTTTTTGTCTGTATCGAAAATTCCTCTTCAAGATTCACCATTCAATTCCTGATTCAGAAGAGCTCGTCATTCTACAGTCATGGATGCACTCAAGGCTTGTAATGCTATCCCAGCTTCGAATTTCCAAAGATTGACGAATCCGTCAGCTTTGATGTCGACGTGGGTGTTGACGAAACCCAAAAGGGTCACACTGTGTTTGGCCAATTCTTGCGTCCAAAACAGGGCTCGTTTCTTCTTTCGTTGCTCGAGAAAACCAGGTACTGAGACGAATAACGAGACTGGCAGTGAATCCGTCGCTGATCCCGATTCTGTTTCAGAGTGCGAAGAGACGTCGGAATCGGAATCTGGCACAAGCGAAGCGTTTTCTTCTCCTTCTTCGCCATTACCTTCTTCATCTAGAGGATTAGTCTTTGATTTGGGTTCTTCAAATTCGTGGGATAGTGCAGATATTGGATGGCCGGTCGTGAAGAGGTTTCTTAGCGATGACGAAGAGAGGTGGTACATGTGGTATTATGGGAAGTCTAATGAGAACCCACCTTCTGACTCGATTGGATTAGCGATTTCAAGCAATGGGGTTCACTGGGAGAGAGGGGGAGGAATTGCTGAAGCGAGTTCCGAAGTGGGCAGTGTGATGAATTGTGGTAAAGATTGGTGGTCATTTGATACAGAAGGCATTAGGCCTTCCGAGGTTTTGGTAATGTCTAGTTCAAGGTTTAGATCATCTAATCCTGTTTATTGGCTTTACTACACTGGATATAGCTCTGAGAAAATAGAGTTCTTTGATAATTCTTTGAAATTCATTTTGGAAAACCCAGATGGGTATTGCACTAGTAATGTAGAAAGTCAAGAAAATAGAACAAGTCGGGGGATGTTGAAGTCCTTGCCTGGTTTGTGCATAAGCCAAGACGGGAGGCATTGGGCTAGAATTGAAGGGGCTCATCACAGTGGAGCCTTGTTTGATGTTGGGTCTGAGGGAGAATGGGATTCTTTGTTTATTTCTTCTCCACAGGTAGTTGTCCATAGCAGTAGTGACCTGAGGATGTACTACCATTCATTTGATGTAGATAAAGGGCACTATGCTATTGGGATTGCCAGGTCAAGAGATGGAATCAGGTGGCTGAAGTTGGGGAAGATAATGGGAGGAGGGAAAGCTGGTTCTTTCGACGAACTTGGAGTGATGAATCCTTGTGTAGCAAGAAACAGGAAGGATGGGGACTATGTGATGGCATATGAAGGTATTGCTGCTGATGGAAGGAGGAGTATTGGTGTGGCTGTGTCTCCTGATGGATTGAAACAATGGGTGAGACTTCAAGACAAAGCGCTTCTACAGCCAGCAGAGAAAGGTTGTTGGGATGATAAAGGAGTGGGATCTCCATATCTGGTTTCTGTGGATTCTAATGCAGGTGACTGTTGGAGGCTGTATTACGGAGGTGTTGGAGATGGAGGAAGAGGAGGAATAGGAATGGCACTTTCTGAAGCGAAGGACATCACAAGTTTTACAAGGTGGTCAGGCTTTCAAGTATAGAATCCGTTTTCATGGCTTGCCCTGTTACTACATTCTTATGATTTCACATTTTAGCTAAACCTGGACATGTTATAGTGAATCTGGGATAAAACACTCGGAAAAACTATTTCTTAGGAAGTCAGTAATACTCAGTTGTAGAGATTGTGTACTTTTTTGTTTTTAGTCATAGAATCTGATAGCAGGCACAGGAAATTGTATCTCTTCCATTTAAATCTGACTGCAGAATGAAACACTTGTCTTGTTCCATATTGCTTATTTGGTTGCTGTGAACTGCAACTTTTCTGACATAAAAGAATAGTCTTTCTGATTCAAACATGTAATATTTTCTGCTGGGGCAAATGAAAGAAAAAAGTAATATTTTCTCCTTCCTTGATTGTACTTGGCTCTAAATTGCAGACCAAATTATGTGATCTTGGTTTGAGACTGTAATGCTTGTTATGAAACAACAGAACAATACTTGACATTTTCTGATTCTTGTTGGTTCTTGCTGGTGTGAGCGTTTTTGTTTCATGTCAATTGCTTTAGCAGTCAAAAATTGGTAAATCCAAATGAAAATCAAGCAATTTCATTAAACCCCATTTAGAAAATAACTAAAATACCTCACCCATAACCTAAATAAGTGGACACACACCCCTTGCATGAGCAATTAAAAAGCTTACTCCTCCACCTTTAATAGATGTGAGACTGAAAATTCTGGATTGGTACCTACCTTCTCTCCTTCTCACCAATAGTCCACAGTGTGTGGACTATACTATTAATATTTTTGCCATAAAAAATACTGCTCCCTCCTGTACTAAATATAATAGCTATTTTATAGTACAATTTACACTACAAAATATGTTTTATATTTAGGACCAGAGGAGTATTAATATTTAACTAGTTTGTCTACAGGGAGAAGCTTTCACAGCTTATTCCAATCAAATTGTACAACTGATTTTTTTTATGTAATTATCAGGTATCCGGCTAAAATTAAGTTAAATATTAGGATTACTGAACTTAAATAAAAATAACTTTCTTAATTTCATTTTTTTTTAAGAGAAATGATGCAGTAAATGGGGCCTATATTAACCCAATGCAATGACTACAGGAACTTTAGACTTGTATCACTATTAAAATTGAAGATATTGTCAGCTAAAGCAAAATGAATTGCCAAGAAAATGTCTAACAATTTATGAAAATTTTATGCATTGCGCCAAAAAAAAAATTATGCATGACTGTGCTTGATTCCTTAAGCTAGATTTAGCAAATACATAAACCAAAATACTACCTCTGGTCTTTAATATAAGAGTTTGTTTGACTTTTATTTTTGTTTTAATTATAAAATCCCAATATATTCTGTATCTCATATTCATCTATTTTTTGTCAAAGTAATTCTTGTAATAATGATAGTTCTAGTCAATACATATGATTAGGAGAGATATTTTTAGAAAGACAACATATATTTATTACAAATAACCAATTTAACTAGTTTTTTTAATATACTCAAATTAGTCAACTAGCTCTTATATTAAGGACCGGATACAGTAACTTTTACCAATCTTATCTCACTAAATTATGGCCAGTTTAATAGAGGTTCAATCAATGAATTTTGGTCCAGCGTTTTCATGTAATGAATATTTATACTTTATCATGTAATTTTGTTCATGCACTTTTCTCTGGGGAAAAAATTTTCCCCTTTTTTTTTTTTTTGAAGAGATTCTAAATTAGATATGCACTCGCTCTTATATTTTGTTCATATAATCTTGTAGCCTGATGACATGTAAACTCCTTTTGTAAGAGGTTGCCATCTTATACTATTAGTGTTTGCTCCTTTAATTCCCAGGAAAAAAGGTCAAATTAATCATAATCATAAATGAAGTATACAAATATAACTAAATCACAACTATTAAATCGTATATTATTTATTACTCAACCATAGAGCCATGTCATACTCTTCACGTAACTATGCCTGAAAATTGTCTGCTTCAATAAAATAGCTTATGCCGCTTGGCTATGCACATCCCCAATAGCAATTTTACTACAATACTGTAAACAGTAAAAGTAATTATCTAAATACTACACTGTGGAAACTATTTACTCATATACTATATTTTTTAAAAGTCATTCACGCCGAGATGAACTTTTACTTTGACAACTTATTTTCTTAAGGTGAAAAAATGAAAGTCATTCAGTTCTTTTTCAGCCATCTCGATTTTCATTTTTGGCAAAAGTTACAATTAAGGACCCAATTTCATATCCGTCCCTACCTTTAAAGCTGTGGAGCAAATTACAGTTGAGACCCCATCTCATCATATCTATTCCTTGTCTTGTTTTACTCTACATCTTCTCCTAAATAGAATAAATATGAGTAGATTTTGTAGAAAAATTGCTTTGTATCTTGGTACTTAAATTTAGAAGAAATATATAAATAAATTAAATAAACAAATGTTTAAAACTTAACATGTTCACAAATTTTATGAAATAGCTAAATAAAAATATTAAAAACTTTAAGTTCTTAAAATCACTTAAAATATTCTTATTTTCTCCAATGCCCATTCTTATCTATTTTATTTTTATTTTTTGAATTATTTAAGGTAACATGACACTCTCACTATGAAAGAAGGTCTTAATAAGTTTTCAATGTTTGTTTATTAAATTATCAATACCCATTCTTATCTATTTTATTTTTTATTTTTTTAATTATTTAAGGTCATATGACACTCTCACTACAAAAAAAGGTCCTAATAAGTTTTCAGTATTTGTTTATTAAATTATTTTTTAATATTTTTATTTAGCTATTTCATATATTTATATATTTTCTTCTAAATTTAAGTACCAAGATACAAGGCAATTTTTCTACAAAATCTACTCATATTTATTCTATTTAGGAGAAGATGTAGAGTAAAACAAGACAAGGAATAGATATGATGAGATGGGATCTTAACAGCTTTAAAGGCAGGGATGAAAGGCGGAGGCTGATGAAATTGGGTCCTTAGTTGTAACTTTTATCAAAAATGAAAATAGAGATGGTTGGGTCGTTTTTGCTTGAACAACTTTCATTTTTTCACTTAAAACAAAAAACTGTTAGAGTGAAAGTTCATCTCAACGTGAACGACTTTTAAAAGCTGTAGTATATAAGTAAATAGTTTTCACAGTATAGCATTTGGGTAATTATTTTTACTGTTTATAGTATTTTGATAAAATTGCCCATCCCGAACCTTATATATATTCTTAGGGATTATTAATATCATTGTTGGTCCTTGCAATTTGATTTAATTTTAGTGTTAGTGCTCATGGTTTCATAAGAATTTGGTTTGAATTTAACTCTATTCCTAATATAATCTACCTTTTAACCATTAGATGTGTGACCTCTTTCTCTAATAAAATTAAATTTCCAAAATATATTTACCAAAAAGCTTTTTGGTTATTTCCCCTTCCCTCTTCCCTCCATTCCTACTGGAGTTGCCACTGGGGGCAGTTGAAGCTTCCATCATCATGGACGGGAGCCTAGTTGTAAGCACCTAAGTTTAGTTTTTGATGCATGACATTTGAAAATTTCTAAAATTTAGTTGCAAATATAATAAAAAGTGAGTTGTGGATTTCAAAAGATTTTTTTTTTTTTGTAAAAAGATTCTTTGAACACGTACCATATAAATCACCTGAACACATTTTCGCGTACTAACGAATACTTTAAATTAACAAAGAATTTTAAATTTATCCTTATTAAAGTTTTTTTCTCTGTCCATATTTACCAATAATTCCTACATCTCTCTCTTATTTATTTTTTTCTTTTCAATGAGAATAAAATAAAGGTAAAATTGAAACGCAGGTAATAAATAGACCACAAGTGACTTACAGTTAGTACTATAACTTCCTCTTATAAATATGACTTATAGTAAGGACAAGAGAGGTATGTAAATCTATATTCATCCTTTTATGGATGATATATGCTGATAAACGGGAGCAGATCCCCTCAGAATCCCATTCTCAGTATCTTTCAGTAGCTGATCTGAACCGTTAATGTGATTAATCGTATCCGTCCATTTTAATACTTTTAAAACTCCTTCAGGACCCCTCAAATGCTTTGATTTTCTGCAACTTGTTGGCATAGCTTAGTAGAAAATATTCTGAGACGCAAGATATGAATAAAAAAAAACTTATTTTTCATAAAAAATAATATCTTTTGGAATTTTTCATAAGCAAAAATATTCATTGTAGAAATTTTTAAGAGGAAAAATCCCAAAAAAACATCTTTAAAATTTTAAAATTTCAAATCAGAAATGACTAAAAATATGTTATGATTTGTTTTTCAAATGTTATCAATTACTAATACAATTTAGTAAATAAGACTGATTTGAAATATTAAAATTTAAACATATTTTTTGGGATTCTTCTTTTTTAAGATGTAAATTTATCCCATTTAAAATAGATTTTTTTTTCTTATGAAGTTCATGGAAGATATTATATTGCTTTTGTTTAACATTGTAAAAGATTTATCTGTTGTATTTACATAATTACTCCTCCATTCCTTAATATAAGATCTAGTTAATTGATTAATTAGGAGAGATTAAGAAAATTAAATAAATTATTATATTTTTCATTTTTTTCAAACTAATTAAAAAATCATGACTAAACTTAAATAGAAACAATCAACAAAAAATATTGACTTCTAATAGCAAGAAACAAAGCCTGCGCCGCTTGGAACTTTTTTATTACAAAAGATCTTTGTTAATGCAACCGGATATACACAGAAGCGAAAAGCAATTTACATTTAGAAAACTAAAAACAGTTTACAGGACAAAGCAACAAAAATGAAGAACAACCATAGCGTCAACAACGAAGAAGCCATGATGTATTCTAACAAAACATTTTTATTTTTTATAATCAGCAGTATTACACCTCTAGTTCTTAATATAAAATTTAGTTGACTAACTTAAAAAAATTGAGAAAGCTAAAAAATTACTTAATTATAGCATATGTTATATTATCTTTTTAAAATATATATGTATCATTATATATCAATTTATAAGCTAAACAAATTATTTTGGAGAAAAATGATAAATATAATACTATAAAATAATTTATTTGACTTCTTTAATCTTTTCAAATTAATCAATTGAGTTTTATATATACTGAGGACCGAAAGTAGTAGTAATTATATAAATATAATAGTTACATCTTTTGGACTATAGGTAATACATATATAAGGAAAAAAAATTCTATTTTAAATGGGAGAAATTTTCATCTCAAAAATTCATCTAACCAGGATTTTTGTGATTTTAGCTCTGAAAAAAATCTAAAAGATAATAATATTTTATGAAAAAATGAGTTTTTTTTTTTAAATCATATCTTGCCCCTTGGAATATTTTCCACCAAGCTATGCCAAAAA